AAAGAAATAGCTGAAAATGTTAACAAATGGAAAAACATACCATGCTCATGGCTGGGAAGAATCAACATTATTAAAATGTCAATACTACCCAAAGCAATATATAATTTTAATGCAATCTCCATTAAAGCTTCACTGTCATACTTTAAAGATCTAGAAAAAATAATACTTTATTTTAAATAAAATCAGAAAAAACCTTGAATAGCAAAGACATTACTCAGGAACAAAAACAAAGTAGGAGGAATTAAGTTACCAGACCTCAGACTATACTATAAATCAACAGTGATCAAAACAGCATGGTACTGGCAAAAAAACAGAGAGGTAGATGTATGGAACAGAATAGAGAGCCAAGAGATGAATCCAGCCACCTACCATTATCTCATCTTTGACAAGCCAATTAAAAACATTGAGTGGGGAAAAGATTCCCTATTTAACAAATGGTACTGGGATAACTGGATGGCGACCTGTACAAGACTGAAACTAGATCCACACCTTTCACCATTAACTAAGATAGACTCTCACTGTATTAAAGATTTAAACTTAAGACATGAAACAATGAAAATACTAGAAGAAAGTGTAGGGAAAACACTTGAATAAATCGGCTTGAGTGCAAATTTTATGAGGAGGACCCCTCGGGCAATTAAAGCAATGTCAAAAATACACTTTTGGGACCTGATCAAACTAAAAAATTTCTGCACAGCCAAGAACACAGTAAATAAAGTGGATAGACAGCCCTCAGAATGGGAGAAGATATTTGCTGGTTATGTCTCTGACAAAGGTTGAATAACCAGAATCCACAGAGAACTCAAACATATTAGCAAGAAAAAAACAAGTGATCTCATCTCAGGGTGGGAAAGGGACTTAAATAGAAATTTCTCTAAAGAAGACAGGCGCATGGCCTAGAGCACACTCTACCCCATGATTGCATTAATGCACACAGTTATGCTATAATAAATAAAAAACAAACAAACAACCCCCCCCCAAAAAAAACCCCCAGTCATGAATTACGAGCACTTTACTCTTTTTTCAGAACTGATCTAAGAAATATTACTTTGCAAATGTACTACTCTCCAGTGTTATTAAGCCCTTTCTGGAATTTCTCTTTTCCAGTTTATCTCTCAAGGATTCCCAAAAACTTTTCTGGCATTCTCCCTACATACTTTAATTCTAGTCTAACAAATTCAAATCCTAGTGCTATCCCAATTGGCCGGGCCTGCCCAAACAGATGCTGTCTAAAGCAAGAATTAACAGTTCTGCTTGTTGCAATCTTGATATGGAATGAGTGGGTAGGTACTACCATTCATTGGTCTAGACCTTCTCTGCAACTCCAGTCTTACAGTGAATACTTACTCTCCCTGAATTTCAGTAACTCCTGATGGATTTCGGAGTCATGCTTAGTGGTCAGTTGTATGGTTGGTCTCAATGTGGTTCTTGATAGGAAGCCTAGAGAACCCGAAAAAAGCATAAAGAGTAGCATTTGGGAACCAGAATTTCTTTTTTTTTTTTTTTTTTTTTTGAGACAAGAGCCTCAAGCTGTCGCTCTGGGTAGCGTGCCATGGCGTCACAGATCACAAAAACCTCAAACTCTTGGGCTCAAGTGATTCTCTTGCCTCAGCCTCCCAAGTAGCTGGGACCAAAGGTGCTCGCTACAATGTGCTTTTTTTGTTGTTACAGTTGTCATGGTGTATATGGTCAGCACCCTACCCACTGAGCCCTGGGAATTAGATTTTAATGATAAACATCCATGCCCTTGAAAGAATCAACATTAATAATTAAGTTTAACCATCTATAAAAATATTTCCTGGTCAAGGTGACACCTAGTCCGTCTCCATTCTCTTTTTCCCCTCTATTAAAGTCTTTCCTTGTCCTTGGGGAAGAAAAAGAAGGAAAATATTACCTGGAAATAATCTGCCTAACAAATTATTTATAAATATCCTGATAAGATTAAAGTATGGCCTAAATAGATCTCAGAATGAGGTTTGGAGTTCCTCTCTAGAATTAAAATATAACTAATTTAGGCTGGGTGTAGTAGTTTCCACCTATAATCCTAGCACTCTGGGAGGCCAAGGTGTGGGTAGATTGCTTGAGCTCACGAGTTCAAAACCAGCCTGAGCAAGAGCAAGACCCTATCTCTAAAAAATAGCTGGGCATTGTAATGGGCACCTGTAGTCCCAGCTACTTGGGAGGCCAACGCAAGAAGATCGCAAGAGTTTGAGGTTGCTGTGATCTATGATGCCATGGCACTCTACCAAGAGTGACAAAGTGAGACTCTGTCTGAAAAATAAATAAATAGAAACTAATTTAAGAGAATTGGTCATAAGAATGTGAAAAAATGATAGTTTTTAAACAAAATAATGAAAATAAACAAAAATGTTTCACTGTCTCAACCACTTCTAGGGAAACAATTCTCTGATTATAGTGCCTATCAGAACTATTTAGAAGGAAATCTCACTTGACCACAGAAGAATATTTTACCAGACTATCAGAAATATCCTAATGTAAATACCAGGAAAGAATATCCAGTTCTCTTGACCATAATTCCAGCATTTCTAATTTGGTCTCCTGGGTGGAGCTGGCTGCTGGAAGACAATACCCAGGATATTATTAGATTTCCTATGGTAAACCTCTACATTAGCTCTCTCATTGGTAATAATAATTCTCTGAAAGAGAATGGAATTTCTAAATTTGTAAATCTGTGACTGGTGATGACCACATCAAGATACAAATTTGAGAGTCCCTGCCCTGGCAGTCTTGCTCTTACCTCTTTACAACATTACCATATTTTGTAAAATACAATGAATAAAGACTCATGAAATCTAAGATTTCAGTCTGGCTCTGTTAGGGCCCTCTGAGCCTCAGTCTTCTCATCACATGAGAAGGTTAGAAAAGATAATTTCTATTGCCTCTTCTAGTCTCAGAATTATTCTATCACTCCAGAGATTAGTAAAAATATTTCAATATGGTACCTAATCGCAAAATAAATTTACAACTAACAAGCCTTTGTAGATATTTATAACTAGTTAGATGGCTTGGCACATGTAGCTCAAATGGCTAAGGCGCCAGCCACATACACCAGAGCTAGCAGGCTCGAATCCAGCCCAGGCCTGCCAAACAACAATGACAATTACAACCAAAAAATAGCCGGGAGTAGTGGCAGGCGCCTGTAATCCCAGTTACTTGGGAGGCTGAGGCAAGAGAATCACTCAAGCACAGGAGTTGGAGGTTGCTGTGAGTTGTGATGCCATGGCACTCTACCCAGGGCAACAGCTTGAGGCTATAGCTCAAAATCAAACAAACAAAATAACCAGTTAGAAAAAAAATGGAAAAAGTACCATCTAAATAGCAGGTAAAATTTAAAATATCTAAAAATAAAACTAACAATAAATGTACAGATCATGTCATGATAGCTCACTGCAACCTCCTATTGCCTCAGATCAAGTAACTGGGACTACAGGTGAGTGCCACCACACCTGGCTAATTTTTCTAATTTTTGTAGAGATGGAGTTTTGCTCTTGCTTAGACTGGTCTAAAACTCCTGGTCTCAAGCAATTCTCCCAACTTGGCCTTCTGAAGTGTTAGGATAACAGGCATGAGCCACCTCACTCCATCCAATTAGGGTTTCTTAAAGGAGGTGGAATTTCATGGGTCCTCTGAATAAAGGTAAACATCTGTACACTTTTTAAGTAGATAAGTCAAGACTTACATTGCTTTAATACAGTACTAATCCCAGTATATATACATAGTGAAATTTATCTTGGTGAATTCACCACAGTCCATATTTTGGACTTTAATTTTTAGGCTCAAAAATTTAGTTTTGATCATCTGAGACTGAAATCCATAATTCAAAAACATTAAGAAGGGTTCAGAGGCTGAGAATGGCAGATGATTATTTGCAACAAAATAGATTAACTGTCACAGTGACTATATGTTCTATTTGTTCTGGCATGCTCACACATTTTCTCTTTGTAGAGAGATATACACGAGAAACTAATCATAGTCAAAAGGCTGCTGATGAACATGGAATTAAAGACAGGGGAAATAAATTGTATGTTTCAAATGTTAATAACATCAGACCACAAGGGGGAGATAGGAATGTTCAAATTTGTGAGCTATAATCTCACAACCAAAGTATGCTTTTCACTCTCCTATTTCTGTTTCTATTGCTAACCAACAGCATTATCTATATTCTTTTATAATTTTTTATTTTTAATTATTACAGGTGCATAATAGTTCCCTAAATGTATTTGTGGAGTACGTGCGATGTTTTGATACAGGTATACAATGCTTAATAATCAAATCAAAGTGACTGGGATATCCATCACCTAAAACACTTTTCATTTCTTTATGTTGTGAACAGTCCAGCTCTGCCCTTTCAGTTATTTTAAAATATATGATAACTTATTTTTGACTATAGTCATCTTGTGCTATCAAATACTAGATCTTGTTCATACTATTGAACTATATTTTCACACCCATTAACTATCTTCTTTATTACCTTCTCCCTGCTAGCTATCCTTCTCAGCCTCTAGTAATTATCATTCTACTCTCTATCTCCATGAGATCAACTGTTTTAACTTTCAGTTCCCACATATGAGTAAGAACATGCAAAATACGTCTTTCTGTATTTGGCTTATTTCATTTCATGTTCTCCAGTGTCATCCATGTGTTGCAATGACAGGATTTCATTATTTTTTGTGGCCGAATAATATTCCATTATGTGTATGTGCCATATTTTCTTTACCTAGTCATTCAGGGATAGACACTTAGGTTGATTCCACATCTTGGCTATTGTGAACAGTCTTGCAGTAAACACAGGAGTACAGATATTTTTTCAATATACGAATGTCCTTTCTTTTAGATATATGTATATCTAGCAGTGGGATTAGAGTCTCAAGCTGTTGTCCTAGGTAGAGTGCCATGGTTTTAATACAGCAACCTCAAACTCTTGGGCTTAAGTAATTCTCTTGCCTCAGCCTCCCACGTAGCTGGGACTACAGGTACCTGCCACAACACTCAGCTATTTTTTGGTTGTAGTTGTCACTGTTTGGCAGGCCGGGACTGGATTCAGACCTGCCAGCTCCAGTGTACGTGGCTGGCGTCCTAGCCGCTGAGCTACTGGCACTGAGCCTCTAGTTTTAGTTTTTTGAGGAACTTCTGTAATGTTTTCCACAGTGGCTGTACTAATTTACATAGCCACAAAAAGTGTATGAGCATTGCCCTTTCTCCACATCCTCACAGTATTCTTTTGGATAAAAGCCATTTCCATTTTAACTGGATAAGATGATATTGTGATTTGCCTTTCTCTGGCAACTAGTGATGTTCAGCACCTTTTCAAATACCTGCTGGTCATTTGTATATATTCTTTTCAGAAACATCTATTCAATTCTTTTGTCCATTTTAAATTGGATTATTTGATTTTCTCCTATTGAGTTGTTTGAACTCTGTATATATTCTGTTCTATATGTTCTGTAAATATTTTATCCCATTCTGTGGGTTGTTTCTTCATGTTAGTTTGAGGTGACCACATTTGTTAACCTTTGCTTTGGTTGCCTGTGCTTTTAGAGGTGTTACTGAAGAAATATTTGCTCAGACCTATATCTTACAGTGATTCCCTAATGCTTTCCTTTAGTAATTTTATAGTTTCAGATCTTACTAATTTAAGTCTTTAATCCATTTTGACTTGATTTTTGTATATGGTGAGAGAAAGGGTTCTACATTCTTCTGTGTACGTTTATCTGGTTTTCCCAGCAACATTTATTGAAGACATTGTTCTTTTCCCAATTTATTTTTTTGGTACCTTTGTCAAAAATGAATTCACTACAAATGTTTGGATTTATTTCTGGGCTCTACAGCTTGTTCCATTAATCTATGAATCTGTTTTTATGACAGTACAATTGCTGTTTTGGTTACTATAGCTGTGTAGTATAATCTGAAGTCAAGAAATTGATTCTCTCAGTTTTGGTCTTTTTGCTTAGTATGGCTTTGGCTATTCTGGGTTTTTTGTGGTGCCATATAAATTTTAGGATTTTTTATTTCTATTTATGTGAAGGATGTCATTGGTATTTTTATAGGAATTGCATTAAATCTGTAGATTGCTTTGGCTACTAAGTACATTTTAACAATATTAATTCTTGTAATACATGAACGTGAGTTATCTTTGGTTTTTTGTGTCCTTTTCCATTTAATTAATCAATGTTTTATAATTTCATTGTATGGTTTTCACTGTAAAGATCTTTCACTTCTTTAAGTTTATTCCTAGGTATTTTATTTTATTTGTAGCTATTGTAAATAGAATTACTTTTTTGGTTTCTTTTCCTATTGTTTGTTATTGGCATATGCACTGATTTTTCTATGTTGATTTTGTATCCTGTAACTTTACTAAATTTATCAGTTCTAATAGTTT